AAGAATATGTGACAGTTTTACAGTTTCCAGCAATATATGATCATTTCTACTAAAAGAAATTAAAACCATAATAATGAAAAATAAATCAACATAAAAAAGTTTAAGGAAAAAGTAATGCACATATACTTTTATTCGAAGCGCATCATACATCAAGCCTTTTTATACTGTCGAAAAGCAATTTCGATCAGCAAACACAGAGTGGCCGTAAGCTACTACAAATGAAATAAAAAAAAAAAAAAAAAGTAATGGATGTACCTATCATATGAAAGAGTCGGAAAGATTTAATAAGATCCCGAGACCGTAACTGATGTCGATAGATAATCTCTGTTCTATCTAACAGAAATTTAAAAATTAAAAACAGAAATTAAACAGAAATTAAATCTAACAGAATCTAACAGAAATTAAAAAGTAATTTAGTTAAGGTCAAGCAACAACACTCAGTCCACACAGAGAAAAACGGATGAGAAACCGAAAATTTTATAGACAATCGATTTCTTTCATCGGAAAAAAAAAAAAAAAAACCTGAAACTAATTTATGAATCTTCTTCAACCAAAGCTTGCTGATCGGAAGAGGATTTCTGACACATACATAGAAAGTCAATCCATGACATACTTTGCGAAATTGAACGAAGGACAAAGAAAAATAAAGGGAAAAAAAAAATACTACACCAACAATATGTTTTCTTATTTGGGAATATTTTAGTTCTATTTTTCCCCCATTTTTCCCTTTTTGTTCTGTGTCTTCAATTCCATAGCAATGGTTGGGTTTTATTCTCGCTCAGCAAGCCTTAAATTTGTGCAACTGTGTGGATTTCGCAGGTCATTTCTTTTACGGGCGCACTTAAATGGCGTCCGTGGAACTGCGAGATCTATTCCTTCCTGTACCAAATGTTCCTCTTTATTTTGTTTGCTTTCGTTTTTATGTGACAGGGTAATCACCAGATTCGAAATATCACACCGTCCTCTTATGTCACTAACTAGGTTTTATCTTTTTAACTTTTTATCTTCCTGTGTTCAAAGTGTCTATTGAATTTCATAGCGTGTCTTTCTAAATAATTAGGTGATAACTTTTTCTCGCAATTACTTGATTACGTGAAATACCATGAAATTATTTCAGAAAAATTAGATTTACTAATTTCAAAGAATGGCATGCAATAAAAGATAATTTCAATTTAAACATTTGAAAAACTGAGAATATTGAGAGTTTCGAAAGAGAATTTTGAATTAGCTATTCTTAATATTGAGACATTTGCTTATTACAATTACAGCAAGAATAGTGTAATATAATTTAATAATAATTATTGTAAATACTAATATTATTACCTTTTATTATTATTATTATAAAATAAATAGTCTAAAACAAAAAACTTTTATTTATTTTTATTTATTTCTTACTTTTATTATTTTTATTATTTATTTTAAAAATGTCGTGCTTATGATAAATTAGAAGAAAATAAATACTATTATTATTTTCTGTTTATAGAAAAATTATATTTATTCTAAAATATTAGTAATGAAATATGATTTGACACTTGCACATTGCAGTGTTATTTTTACACATTGCAGTATTACACGATAATTTTTCAATAAAGAATATACACTCAAGAGCCTAAACATTACGACCACCTACATTTTGCAATGAACTCGCCTGGATGACGTGGAAGGTACGTGATCAGGTGGAAATAGCATTTAACTGGAATTAAGTGGTGGTATTAATCCATGCCAAGGCAGGTTGAAGCCATGTTGCGCGCCAAAGGTGGGCCAACTCGTTATTGACAGGTGGTCATAATGTTTTGGCTCTTGAATATAAAACCATAATAATGAAAAATAAACCAACAACAAAAAAGCTTAAAAGAAAAGTAAGCCACATATACTTTAATTTGAAGCTCATTAAACATCAAGCCTTGTTACACAATCGAAAAGCAATTTCGTGCAAACACAGACTAGCTCTAAGCTATCACAAATGAAATAAAAAAATATGTAATGGATAAAACCTATCATATGTATGTATGTCGGAAAGATTTAGTAAGATCCCGAGACCGTAACTGACGTCGATATATAATCTCTGTTCCATCTAGAAGAAAATGTAAGTTATTTAAGGTCAAACAACATCACTCAGCCCAGCAAAGAAAACGGATGAGAAACCGGAAATTTTATAGACAATCGATTTCTTTCATCGGAAAAAAAAAAACAAACCTGAAACTAATTTATGAATCTTCTTCAACCAAAGCCTGCCAATCGACAGAGGGATTTCTGACACATACATAGAAAGTCAAACCAGAGATACTGAGAAAATGAAAGAAGGGCAAAGAAAAAATGAAAGGAAACTACACCAAAAATATGTTTTCTGATTTGAAGGTTATTTTAGTTCTTTGTTTTTTCTTTCCTTTTCATGCGAGTCTTTTTAATTTCATAGCAATGGTTGGGTTTTTATTCTTCCGCAGCAAGTTTCAAGTGTGTGCAACTGTGTGGATTTCGCAGGCCATTTCTTTTACGGGTTCACGTAAATGGCGTCCGTGGAACTGCGAGATCCATTCCTTCCTCCCAACTGTTTCCCCTTTATTTTGTTTTCTTCTTTTTATGTGACAGGGTAATCACCAGGTTTGAAATATCACCCCTCCTCCTGTGTCACTAACTGGGATTTCATCATTTTCAACTTCTAACTTCTTATGTTCCAAGTGTCTATCGAATTTCATAGCGTTGTCTTTCTGAATATTTAGTTGAAATCTTTTTATCGCAATTACTTGATTACGTGCAATAACATGGATTCATTTTATTAAAATAGGTGTTTTTTTAAAGAAGTGCATAAAATGAAAGATAACTTCTGTTTAAAAATGTGAAAAATTGAGAATATTGACAGTTTCGAAAAGAGAATTTTGAATTAGCTATTCTTAAATTGAGACGTTTGCTTATTACAATTACGGTATAAAGACTAGCGTGATATAATATAATATATATAATTTATTAATTATTATTGTAAATAATTATATATATTACAATTTATTATTATTACTATAATATAAATTACTCTTAAACATAAAAACATTTATTATTATTAATTAGTAATAAATAACATTTACTGGTATTTACATTTAATTACATATAATTTACTGGTATTTACATTTACATTCGTAAAAATGTCCAATACAATGTCTGTCGTACACTTTGTATCCCTATATATATTATATTTAATATTTATATATTTTAAACATTTAGCTACGAGTATATAGTAAAACTGCTGTGCTTATGATAAATTACAGAATAGTAAATAATAATATTAGTTTCTATTTTTAGAAAAATATATCTATTCGAAATTAATAATAAAGAAATAGGATTTGACGTTTTTACGCTTTTTTAGCAATATACATCATTTCTGCTAAATGAAAATAAATCCATACTATTGAAAAATAAACCGACAAAAAATGTTTAAAGAAAAGTAATGCACATATACACTGAAGTGACAAAAGTCATGGGATAGCAATATGCAAATTTTCAGATGGCAGTAGCATCGCGTAGAACAGGTATAAATGCGCAGTGCTTTCGCAGAGCTTTCATTTCTGTTCAAGTTATTCATGTGAAGAGATTTTGACGTGATGATGACCGCACGACGGGAATTAACAGACTTTGAAAGCGGAATGTTAGTTGGAGCTAGACGCATGGGTCATGCCATTTCGGAAATCGTTAGGGAATTCAACATTCCCAGATCCACTGTGTCAAGAGTGTGCCGAGAGTATGACATTTCAGGCATAACATCCCACCATGGACAGCGCAGTGGTCGACCGCCTGCACTTAACGTGCCGAGACCGGCGACGTCTGCAAACAGTCGTAAATTCTAACAGACAAGCAACACTGCGTCAAATAACCGCAGAAATCAATGTGGGACATACAAGGGACTTGTCTGTTAGAACTGTGCGGAGAAATTTGGCTTTCTTCGGCTATTCCAGCAAAAGACCGACTCGAGGGCCTTTACTGACAGAGGGCACGTGAGCATATCGGTTGGTCCCTAGATGAATGGAAAACCGTGGCCTGGTCCGATGAGTCACGATTTCAGTTGGTAAGAGCTGATGGTAGGGTTCGAGTGTGGCGCAGACCCCACGAAGCCATGGACCCAAACTGTCAGCAAGGCACTGTTCAAGCTTGTGGTGGCTCCGTAATGGTGTGGTCTGTTTTTCATGGCATTGACTTGGTCCTCTGGTGCGACTGGACCGAACATTGACTGGAAATGCTTATGTTCAGCTACTTGGAGATCACTTGCAGCCATTCATGGACTTCATGTACCCAAACAACGATGAGATTTTTATGGATGAAAATGCGCCATGTCAACGGGCCACAACTGTTCGCGATTGGTTTGAAGAACATTCTGGACAATTGCAACGAATGATCTGGCCACCTAGATCGCCCGACATGAATCCCATCGAGCATTTATAGGACATCATCGAGAGGTCTGTTCGTGGCCAAAATCCTGCACCATCAACGCTTTCACAATTATGGATGTCTATCGAGACAGCATGGCTCAATATTCCTGCAGAAGACTTCCAACGACTTGTTGAGTCCATGTTGCTGCACTTCGCCGGGCGAAAGGAGGGCTGACAAGATATTAAGAGGTATCCCATGACTTTTGTCACTTCAGTGTATTTTTATCTGAAGCGCATCATACATCGAGCTTTGTTGTACTGTCGAAAAGCAATTTCGTGCAAACACAGAGTGGCTATAAGCTACCACAAATGAAATAAAAAAGAAATATTGTTTGTTGTTTCTTATCCCACTTATCTGGCCAAGCCCACGTGCCCATACGTACTCATGATTGAAGGAGAAAGAAGCAGCTTCTGTTGTGATGGAGCACCCGTAGGTAGAAGTCTGACTTTGGCTCCGTGACGCTCTTACAGTCATAGTAGACCGGGACCTACGGCTTAAATTGGTTCCGAACCACTACAAACATCCATGGCACCGCCGGGATTCGAACCCGAAACCTGTGGCACCGAGCGCCAGAGCGCTGAGACAACGGCACGTGGCGTTAACAGGTGGCCACCCACCCAAAAAACTGACCGCGCCCTATGATGCTTGACTTCGGTGATCTAACGAGAACCGTTATATTCAGCATCGTATGACCGTTGGCTAAAAGAAATATATGTGATGGATATACCTATCATATGAAAGAGCCGGAAAGATTTATTAAAATCCCGAGACCGTAACTGATGTCAGTAGATAATCTCTGTTCCATCCAGAAGAAGAAAAAGTACGTTATTTAAGGTCAAATAACATCACTCAGCTGTCACAGAAAACGGATGAGAAACAGGAAATTTTAAACGCAATCGATTTCTTTAATCGGTAAAAAGACTTTATGAATCTTCAACCAAAGCTTGCCGATCGAAAGAGGGATTTCTGCCACATCCATAGAAGGTCAATTCACAGATACTGTGAAAATGAAAGAAGGACAAAGAAAAAAAAAAAAAAAAAAATACACCAGAAATATGTTTTCTTATTTGGGGTTATTTTAGTTCTATTTTTTTTTATCTTTCCTTTTTTTTTCCTGTGTCTTCAATTCCATGGGAATGGTTGGGTTTTTATTCTTGCGCAGCAAGTCTCAAGTGTGTGCAACTGTGTGGATTTCGCAGGCCATTTCTTTTAAGGGCCCACGTAAATAGCGTTCGTGGAACTGCGATCTATCCCTTCCTGTCCCAAATGTTCCCCTTATTTTATTTTCTTTCGTTTTTATGTGGCAGGGTAATCACCAGGTTTGAAATATCACACCCTCCCTCCCATGTCACTAACTGGGCTTTTATCATTTCAACTTCTAACTTCTTGTGTTCCGAGTGTCTATTGAATTTCATAACGTTGTCTTTCTAAAAAAGTAGGTGAAAACTTTTATCGCAGTTATTTGATTATGTGCAATAACAAAAATAATTTTAGAATATTAAGTGTATTAATTTTAAAGAATGACATACAATGAAAGATGGCTTCTATTTAAACATTTGAAAAATTGAGAAGATTGACAGTTTCGAAAGAGAATTTTTAAATAGCTATTCTAAATAAAGAATAACGTGATAAAATAATAATATATATAATAAATTAATTATTATTATAGATAATAATATTATTACTATTTATTAATATTTTTATAAATAATATTATTCTTATATATAAAAAAACGTTTAAAACTTAGTAGTAATAAATAGTATATTTTATATAATTTACATTCGTAAAAGATTTCCAATATATATATATATCCTTCACAACATTTTGTATGCCTACATTTATTATATTTAATATTTACATATTTTAAGTATTTAGCTATATATTCTTCTAAAAGCCTTTCTTATTATAAATTAGTAGGAAATAAATCTTATTATTATTTTCTATTTACAGAAAAAATTTCTATTTGAAATTAATAATAAATAAATCAGATTTGACATTTTTGCGTTTTCTATCAATATACGATCATTTTTTCTATGAGGCAAATAAAGTCATAATAACGGAAAATAAACCAACATAAAAGTTTAAAGAAAAGCAATGCACATATACTTTATTTGAAGCGTATCATACATCAAGCCTTGTTATACTCTCGAAAAGCAATTTCGTGCAAACCCAGAGTGGCAGTAAGCTACCACAAATGAAATAAAAAATATGTAATGGATATACCTATCACATGAAAGAGTCGAAAAAGATTTAGTAAGATCCCGAGACCGTAACTGATACCGATAGATAATCTCTGTTCCATCCTAAAGAAAAAAGTAACTTATTTAAGGTCAAACAACATCACTCAGCTCTCACAGAAAATGGATGAGAAACCGGAAATTTTATAGGCAATCGATTTCTTTTATCGGCAGAAAAAAATCCTGAAACTAATTTATGAATCTTCTTCAACCAAAGCTTGTCGATCGAAAGAGGGATTTCTGCCACATCCATAGAAAGTCAATCCAGTCAGTCTGAAAAAATGAACGAAGGATAATGGAAAAAAATGAAAGGAAACTACACCAATAATATGTTTTCTTATTTGGGGTTATTTTAGTTCCATTTTTTCCTTTATTTTTTTTCCGTAGTCTTCAATTCCATAGAAATAGTTGTGTTTTTATTCTCGCGCAGCAAGTCTCAAGTGTGTGCAACTGTGTGGATTTCGCAGGGCATTTCTTTTACGGGCCCACGTAAATGGTGTCCGTGGAACCAAGAGATATATTCCTTCCTGTGCCAAAAGTTCCTTTCATTTTGTTTTCTTTTCGTTTTTATATGACAGGGTAATCACCAGGTTTGAAATATCACACACTCCTCCTATGTCACTAACAAGAATTTTATCATTTCAACTTCTAACTCCTCTATGTTCCAAGTGTCTATTGAATTTCTTAGCGTTGTTTTTCTGAACATTTAGGTGTAAAAACTTTTCTCTCAAGTTGTTGATTACGTGCAATAACATAATATAATTTTAGAAAAATATGTGTACTAATTTTACAGAATAACATACAATAAAATATAACTTCTATCTAAACATTTGTAAAATTAAAAATATTGACAGTTTCGAAAGATAGTTTTGAATTAACTATTCTAAATGTTGAGACGTTTACTTATCACAATTACGCCATAAAGAATAGCGAGTTATAACGTAATAGATATTACTTATTATTATAAATAATAATATTATTATTTTTTATTATTATTATTATTATAAAATATATTATTCTTAAATACAAAAACATTTATTACTTAATAGCAATAAATAAATTTTTTATATAACTTACCGTTATTTATATTTACATTCGTAAAAATATCAATGTATGTACATATATATTCTCTCCCACACTTTGTATGCCTACATTTTATTATATTTAATATTTATATATTTAAACATTTAGCTACGAGTTTATAGTAAAATTGTCGTACTTATGGTAAATTAGAAAAAAAAATACTATTATGTGTTTCTATTTATAGAAATAAATATATCTATTCGAAAATAATAATAAAGAAATAATATGTGACAGTTTTACAGTTTCCAGCAGTATATGATCATTTCTGCTAAAAAAGAAAATAAAACCATAATAATGAAAAATAAATCAACATAAAAAGTTTAAAGAAAAGTAATGCAGATATACTTTTATTCGAGAAGCGCATCATACATCAAACCTTTTTATACTGTCGAAAAGCAATTTCGTGCAAACACACAGTGGCCTTAAGCTACTACAAATGAAATAAAAAAATGTAATGGATGTACCTATCATATGAAAGAGTGGAAAGATTTAGTAAGATCCTATAACATATGCTAGATAATCTCAAAAAAGAAAAGCAAGTTATTTAAGGTCAAACAACATCACTCGGACCCACACAGAAAACGGATGATAAACCGTAAATTTTTAGGCAATCGATTTCTTTCATCGACAAAAAAGAATACATAAAAAGAACCTGAAATTAATTTATGTATCTTCTTCAACCAAAAGCATGCCGATCGAAAGAGGGATTTCTGACACATCCATAGAAAGTCAATCCAGAGATACTGGGAAAATGACAAAAGAAAAGATAATGGAAAAAAAAAAAAAGGAAAACATACTACCAAGAATATGTTTTCTTATTTGGGGTTATTTTAGTTCTATTTTTTTCTTTTCCTTTTTTTTTTTTTTTCAGTCTTCAATTCCATAGCAATGGTTGAGATTTTATTCTCTCACAGCAACTTTCAAGTGTGTGCAACTGTGTGGATTTCGCAGGCCATTTCTTTTACAGGCCCCACGTAAATGGCGTCCTTAAATTGCCAGATCTATCCTTCCTGTCCAAATGTTCACTCTTTATTTTTGTTTGCTTTCGTTTTTATGTGACAGGGTAATCACCAGGTTTGAAATATCACTCCATCCAACTATGTCACTGACTGGGATTTTATCATTTCAACTTCTAACTTCTTATATGTTAAAAGTGTCTATTGAATTTCATACCGTTGTATTTCTAAAAAAAAAAAAATAAGGTGAAAATTTTTTATTGCAATTACTTGATTATCTGCCTAGTTTTTGAATTTTTTTTTTTACTAATTTGAAAGGATGACTTTAAAATTAACTTCTACCTAAACATTTGAAAAACTGAGAATATTAATATTTTCGAAAACAGAATTTTGAATTCACTATTCAAAATATTGGGGCATTGTCAGATTATCGCAATATGTAATAGTATAGGTTTTTGTGTGTTGAAAAAAATAATTCATGATGAATTTAATTGAATAATATGTAGTTAAACATTGTTTTTATTTAATAATTTTAGACGCTATCAGTTATAAATATTTTGGTATGAAGAAATTAGAAATCTTCTCAAATTTGATGATGTGAATAATAACGTGTAGTTTTGTAGGTTGGGCAGCTCTGGATTGTATTTGGGTGTGGTTGATTTGAAACTTGAGGCAAAGGTTTCAGAAGACACTTCCTTATTTACAAGTACACAAACACCACACAACACAATTAACTACACACAATTATACTACAGACGATATCTAATAATATATATATATATATATATATATATATATATATATATATATATATATATATATATATATATATATATATATATATATTTATACATTGGATACACAAAATATACTTTCTATCCTGGTGAGTGTGTAAGCCAACAAATACATAAGCTTGTGCTAAATATATTCCATATCGGTTGAGAGACCGTAAACTAAACATTTCTAAACAGTGTCATTGTGCTGTACTGCACATTTCCGCCGCTGTACTTCCTCTCTGGTGAGATTCTCGATACCTACCGACATGGGCGCTCTTGCCAGGGCGTAGAAGGAAGCACAGTTACAAACGTATATATTGAATTAAAATTCTCCTTGTACTTTTTAATACAATAGTTCTTATAGTTTTTTCGCTTTAAATACTAGGCCTACTGTTATGTGTTGTATGGTATCAACTTATTACTCGGCATAAAAATGTAACAGTTGATTAACTTAAAGGGAAAATTAAAATAAAAATGTTGTTAGCTAAAGAGTTGTTATGAACAAATGTCATTTAACTCATTTAAATATCAGCTGTATTTTTTGTATCAATTATTATTACATTTTATATATTTTTCATAATATTATTTCAATTTTATATAAAAATTCTAATGGATTATATATTGATATTAAATATAATTTTCTTA